GTGTAACCGCGAGTGTGGAATAGATATGAGAATGAAATGGCGGTATAATCCGCGAGAAACATAAATATATTTATGTTTCAGAACAGGTTTGATTCTAAACTGATTGTTTGGAATGTATATTGTTGAATGAGGTTATACACTCACTAGACCATTTGGTCTAACGCTCAAATGTTGGATTAACCTKTTTTGCAGGACAGMGTGCTCTGAAAGATAAAGGCAAGGGAAAAGTTTAATTGTGACATTAGCTTGTTATGCATATGTATTTTAGAATCATATTGATAGTTCATGTTTTGTAATAATACTATTTTAGTATTATGAGAATGATGATGTGAATTATGTATTTGAGATATGAGGGTTGTTACACTTAGGTAGCTCCTTCTTATTCTCCGGTCTCCTTCCAAATCCGTTATTCGCTGTCTTCTCGTGGGGTGTCACACTATTCCGACGTTTTGGGCAGCCAGGTCGTATATGTCCCGTAGCCCCACATTCGTAACAAGTTTTCTATCTGGGCACTCTCGCGCGGTGTGCCAAGGCTTGTCACATTTGTAGCACGTCAGGCTCCCCGCTCTGCACTCTCCCCTATGTCTCTTGTTGCATTTGTTACATCGGGGAATAGTGAGTTCCTCGCTTCGTGTTTTTGCCGTGGTCGAAGTCCATTTTGGTTTCTTGTCGGGCCTGTTCGACCCTTCCCATTTTCTCTTTGCATCCCTTCTATCATAATTCTCCCTAGCGTTGTTCTCTTTTGCTACCTTTGCCATCTCTACTGCTTGGACAAACGTGGTCGGCTTGGTCATGTCTATGTACCATTTGATTTCTATTCTTAAGCCGTCCTTGAAGCGACCTATCTTCCTCTCCTCAGTAGCCATCTGGTAACTGGCGAATCTTGCTTTTTCAAGAAAATCATTAACATATTCTTGAACTGACAACGATCCTTGCTTTAATCTCAGAAATTCGGATTCTAGTTTGTTTACCTCCGTTTGCGAGCAGTACTTATCCATCATCGTCTTTTTCATTTGCTCCCAAGTCATGGCAACAATATCCTCATTACCTCTGATTGCACATTCACACTCCCACCAATGCAACGCATAGTCCACAAAGGTTGTAGCAACATAAGTCACCTTTTGATCCCCTGCGCATCTACAAATTTTGAAGCAACTCTGCATCTTGGCTACCCAGTTCATCAGGCCAACTGGGCCCTCTATTCCTTTAAATTC